CTACCTGACTGTTGTTAAGTGCCTTTGAGTCGGTTCTGACTCATAGCAACCCTGTATAGGGCATCGGAGATGTTAAATCTTTGAGGGAGCAGAAAGCCTCATCTTTCTCCCATGAAGTAGCTGGTGGTCTTGAACCATGGACCGTGTAATTCGCAATCCAGTGCTTATCATATGGAGTCACCATACTTCCCTTGAGGTTACCAGTCCTACAGTGCCATACCAGATCTCCAAACCACATAGAAAGCTTTCAGTACTTGGACAAAGATTTGAAAGGGATGAGAAAAATTCAAAAGGCTTAAATCTATAAAGTGGTAGGCAATGGTGACTTTCTCTCTTTTACCATTCCCATTTCTCTTATATGCCATTTGTGCCCTAAATGTTGAGCCTCCCCCATTTCCAGAGTCTCTTCTAATATCCACACCTGAAACCACCTCTCTGCTCCTGATCTCTTTCAGGGTGGCTGCACTGTGCCCAGCTGGCCCTGATATAGAACTGATTTCTGTCCCAGGAACCAGAATTAATAGTGCCTTGTTTCTTGCCCAGAGAACGCATGTCTGCAGCTGACCAGGCCTCTGAGCTTAAGGAGCTGCATGTTAGTGAGGCATTCAGGACCATTCCAAGAACCGAGTACCCTTATGCTTTGGGTACACTAGCAAGACTCATCCCCGATGACCTCAGGCAGTAGACAAGTGCCAGTCTTCTGGGTCATCCCTTATCACCATGACCTATAAATCACTCTATACATTCCCTTCTTGTTGTTGTTAAATGCTACTGAGTCAGTTCCGACCCATAGCGACCCTGTATAGGGTTTCCAAGGAGCAGCTGGTGAGCTTGAACCGCCGACCTTGCAGTTCAAACAGCTTGGCAGTCTTGTGCATTAACCCACAGCACCACATCAGACCTCCAGACATTCCCTGGTGGTGGTGGTTATGTGCCATGGAGTCGGTCCTGACTCATAGCGAGCTTGTACAGGGATTCCAAGGCTGTAAAACTTTATGGGAGCAGCAAGCCTCATCTTTCTCCTGCGGAACAGCTGGTAGTTTCCAACTGCTGACCTTAAAGGTCACAGCCCGATTCATAACCATTACTCTACCAGAGCTCCTTCCATACATTCCCTAATCTCTCCTAAATCCCCCCACACACCCTGCCCTTCAAATTCTGTGAGATTCCTACTATAGAATCAAAAAATTTCCTTGTTTCTCATCCTCTTCTCAGAAAGCTCCATTCACCCACCTGGGTGTGCCTACCTCTGTACTGTCTCCTGTGGTACTCTCATGTGGAGACGGCTTCATTCTCACCCTCTCCCCCAGTACACCCCAGGAGGTGGGTGGGTGTAATTCCCAAATCTTTCATCTCCTAAAACTGCAGCTCCTCTGTAGCTCTTGCTATCAGACTAACTTTCCCCTTTTTGTCACCCTCCTTCATTCACTGAGACTACCTTCTGGTTCAACATCTCTCCCCACAGATAACTCCTTGTTAACATCCTGTTATCTATTACCTTCTGTCTTCCACTTCCACAGACTCTGAACTTGCTGTACTCTGCCCGGCACATTCTTCCCCAGATATTTGCACCGCTCCCTCCTTACTTTCTCAGGCCTCTGCTCAAATGTCACCTAAGAGTGACATCTTCCCTAGCCATCCTTTTTTAAATTGCAATTCACTCCCTCAATCCTCTTCTCTGCTTTTGTTCCATGGCCCTTGTCAGATGTATCTTTTACTTGATAATTTATTGTTTGATCCCCACCAAGAATTTAAATTTCAATAAGGATAGGGACTTTTGTATGTTTTGTTGTTGTAATACCCAGGACCTAAAACAGTGTCGGAGCAGACAAGAGCATGCTCAACAGCAATCTGGTGAATGTCTGAAACAATGAAAGAATAAATGAACCTGTCCAGTGTCCTGGACTCTCTCATTCCTTGACTTCCAAGGAACCCACAACCATTGTCATCACTGTATCTCAGTCACCGTGGCCATGGTTGTGTCCTAGGCCTGGACATCAACAACAATTGTTGTTAGGTGCCATTGAATTGGCCCCAACTCTCAGCAACCTTATGCACAACAGAATAAAACATTGCCTGGTCCTGCATCAACCACACAATCATTGTTACACTTGAGCCCACTGCTGTTGCCACTGTGCCAATCCATCCCATTGGGAGTTTCCCTCTTTTTTGCTGCCCTTCCACTTTACCTAGCATGATGTCCTCCAGGGACTAGTGCCTCCTTATAATATGTACAAAGTATAAGGGATGAAGTCTCGCCATCCTAGCTTCTAAGGAACATTCTGGCTGTACTTCATCCAACACAGATTTGTTTGTTCTTCTAGCAGGCAATGGTACTTTCAATATTCTTCTTCAACACCATAACTCAAATGTATCAATTCTTCTGCGGGTTTCCTTACTCGCTATCCAACTTCACATGCAAATGAGGCTATTGAAAATATCATGGCTTCTTGGGTCAGACACACCTTACACCTCAAGCTGACATTTTTGCTCTTTAACAGTTTAATGAGGTCTTGTACAATATGTCATTTGATTTCTTATCTACTTCCATGAGTGCTGATTGTGGATCCAAGCAAAATGAAGTTTGGGGCAATTTCAATCTTTCCTCCATTCATCATAATGTTATTTATTGGTTTCTTTACATTGAGTTGCAATCCACACTGAAGGCTGTGGTCTTTGATTTTCATCAGTAAGTATTTAAGTCCTCTTCGCTTTCAGAACACAAGGCTGTAACATCTGCATATTGCAGGTTGTTAATGAGTCTTCCTTCAATCCTGATGCCACGTTCCTCTTCATATAATCCAGTTTCTCAAATTATTTGCTCAGCATACAGATTGAATAAGTATGGTAAAAGAATACAACCCGGGCACACACCTCTCATGAGTTTAAACTATTCAGTGTCCCCTTATTCTGTTTGAACAACTCTCTTTTGGTCTAAATATAGGGCCCTCATGAGCACAATTGGGTGTTCCAGAATACTCATTCTCAGCAATGTTGTCCATAGCTTGTCATGAACCACACAATTGAAAGCCTTTACATAGTTAATAAAGCACAGGTAAACATCTTTATGGTATTCTCTGCTTTCAGCCAAGATCCATCTGACATCAGCAGTGATATCCCTTGTTCCATGTCCTCATCTGATTCTGGCTTGAAACTCACAGTTCCCTGTCAATATACTGTTGCAGTCGTTTTTAAATCATCCTTTAGCAAACTGTTCTTTGAATGTGATAATAAGGATATTGTCCAATGATTTCTGCATTCCGCCGGGTTACCTCTCTTTGGAATGGGCGGCAATGGGCATACTTCCATTTCAATTACTGACAACTATCTCGGACCCATCTAGTTCACTTGCTTAGCCATTCCTACTCTAACTAGTCAGCTTCCTCAAAAACATAGTTACAAAAAACCCAATATATAGAAACCAAAGATTTTTAGTGGCTACCAAGACAGAAAGGTGAAGGGAAGAGAGGGAGTTTTGCTTAGAGGGTCCTGAATTTGTTGCTGACAGTGAAATAATTTGAAAAAGGATAGTAATAATGGCTACACGATACGAAGAATGCAATCAGTGCCACTGAATTATACATGTAGAAGTTGCTGAATTGGGGAATATTTTGTTGTGTATTTTCATCACATACATACCCCCTAAAAAAACACCATATTTACAATTCATCTTGTTACTCAGCCTAGACCCTAACTCATAAGCATACCCTCTTTCTCAGCAAACTCTAACTAAACTATCCTATTTCTCTGCCCTCACTCAACCAGTACGGATAACTACTAGTGTTTGTTGAGTATTTACTATACCAAGAACTGTTTTGAGTACTTTACACCACTAGGGTTTGTTCATTAATTCTTTTAATCCTCACAAGTCTATGAGGTAGGTACTATTACTGTCCTCCTCATTTTACACACAGAGAAACTAAACTTGCTGTGGAAAGCTCACGTTAACTGATAGCATTTTAAATGGATGGTGTTATAGACTGAATTGAGTCCTCCCAAAAAAGATATACTGAAGGAGTACTGGTGTGGAGCTGTGGGTTAATGCACTAGACTGTAAAGTCCTTTGAACCTCACAGTTGGTGATTCAAGGTCACCAGCTGCTCCTCAGGAAACCCTATACAAGGTCGCTATGGGTTGGAACAGACTTGGTAGCACTAACAACAAAAACAAAAAAGATATGCCCAAATTCTAACCCTTGGTACATTTCACTGTGTGATCTTGTTTGAAAAATAATCTTTGAAAATGTTATTGTTATTGGTTAAGCATGAGCTCATACTGAGTAGGATGGGTCCTAATTCAACTCTAAGTGGTGTCCTTATAAAAGAAGGTTAAGATCCTACGTGACATGGTTCCTAGTCATCCCCCATCCTCACCCCTCTTTCTTCCCCACTTGCCTCAATCCAACCACTTTGGACTTCTTTCAGTTCTTTAAACACACAATTCTTTCCCAGTCCCAGGTCTCTAATATTCTTGCCTCTTCCTGGAAAGCACTTTCCATAGGTCTTCACATGACTGACCCATTATCAACTCAATATCTCTTTCACTGACATTTTAGTTAAAAGTTTAGTTAGACTAAAGAGTTAGCCTCTCTTCATTCTATTTATTTCCTTCATAGAATGTATACAATCTATAATAATCTTGGTTACATATTTATTGGTTTACATGTTTGTAGTCTCTCTCCCACACATGAAAGAGTAAATCAACTCCTTATCTGTCTTGTTCACCACTTGATGCCAGCACCAAACACTGTGACTAACATATTGGAAGTCATTCCTTAAATATCTCTAAATAAATAAATATTGCCACAAAAAAATCCACAAATTTTTCATGAAAAATATATTCCTGATTGAAGAGACAAACATCTCTTTAAATACTTCAGAATTCAGAGCAGTAAATGCTACCTGAAGAAATTCCAATTTGTGAACAGGAGGCATTCTCCATCTAAATGGAAAAAAATTAAAAGTGGCTGACAAAGGGGCAGAGTTAACTACAGTCCTTACCATTTCTGTATATTCCAGCTGCTCCTCTTCACTGTACAGCTCTGGGGGTAAGTTGTAAATCCGTAAGATGTTATCAGCACTATTGGTCAAAATACAGGAACCATCTGGAGCCCTAGGAGTAGAAAAGAGTTAGAAGACAGGGGCAAGGGGGTGGGGGCAGCACTTGATTTCCAACTGTAAGGCTTCTTAAGACTGAGCCTACCTCTGGCATAAATTAAGGTCCCTGAGTCCTTGAGAGAGGTGGAGGACAAAAGGCCCTATAAGAAATTTAAGTTCAGGACTAAGAGGGACTCTTACTCTTTTCCCAACCGGTCTCAACCAGATCCTTCTCTCAGATAGCTAGGATTTTTTCAGATGACAGTCCTGTGGGTGATTATCTCCTTGTCCCATTACTTTTACTTACCATTTACAACCTTTCAAGAAGTTCTCAGGTTGGGTGCTAAACTCTGACCAAGAACCACTGAGAAATCGAGGTAGCTGAGAGAAGCTGTAGTTCCAAGTGCTGGAAGAAAGATAGAAGACAATACACGTGGGTCGCCAAAGCAAAGGGGAAATGGGTCCTGGGAAGTGGGTGAGGAAAGGCGGATAAAGGATGTTTCATGCTTTCAATATCCTCAGATTCCAGAGCCAAAACTGTTATTACCACTTACGTGTTTCCCTCATCCTCCAAAGTGGATTCCTTGGATACACCTTCCATGGCTTCTCCAGGTCCCAACTCTGGTTCGTTCGTTTCTTCTGTAGGAAGTCTCTCATTTTCAGGTTCTTGTTCCTCAATTCGAGGACTCAACTCAACAGAAGTACCAAATCCCGTTTCCAAGGGAGTGGAGACAGAAGCAGGGCCCTCTTCACTCAGTTCCGGGGACACAGCTGATGAGACAGGTACGGGATCTGGGAATATCCCAAGCCGATCATCCCCATCGGGAGGCGGTGGCATTAGTTCTGAGTCCGCATTTTTATCCCTCGGGGAAGCCTGAGGCGAGAGACTGGCTGAAGCTGCGGCCTGGACTGAAGGAAAGCAATCTGGAGCTAACGTTTGCTCCTCCGGCGTCTTCATACTGCAGAGAAAGAGCGGTAGGCATTGGCCTCAGACCAGCAAACCCTCTTTTCTCTGGCTACTGGCAGCCTAGCTAGCCGAGCGGCCAGGATAGCTTCGGAGTTCTCAAGGATCCTGATGGAGAACTGAAGAAACCCACCCTGTACCTTCCTTTCTCTTCCGGGAGGGGGCACAAGATCTCTAGCAGGCGAGAAGAACCAAATGTGCAGTAGGGAAGAAGCGTTTCTTACCTCTACGATCGCCACGTCCCATTTATTGTCGCGGGATTTGGGCTCATCTTCCGATTGGACCTTCGCATCACAGATAAGATTTCGCGGGAGACTCTCAAGAGGGGCGGGCAGAGACGTAGATCTGGAGGATTACCGTTCCCACTAAATCCTGGGGACCTCAATGGCTGCTGGGATTTGTAGTCTAAATGCTTTATATGTTGGAGAGTATTCGAGCTCCCCCTGCGGTCTCATGCGGTTCTTAAAGTCTAAAGCCCGTGTCCCCACTTCACCTGCAGGGGGCGCTAGCACTGTATTTGACTTTACAGTGTTTGAAACTTCTTTGTATCTTATTCGCCAGATTTCTCAGCTCTCCCTCTCCTTTAATTAATTCAATAAATATTTATCATTGAATTCTTACTTGCTACCCAGAAGCAGGGTCGCTATGAGTCAGTACCGACTTGGTGGCACCTAACAACAAAAACCTAGGAGCCCTGGTGTAGCACTGTAGGATAAGCACTGGACCAGAGGGTCGGTTTGAACCCCAAGGGCGGCAGTTGAAAACTCACCAGCCGCTCCTTGGAAACCCTTATACAGAGGTCGCTTTGAGTTGGAATGGACTCTATGGCACTTAACAACACCCCCCGGGAGTCCTGGTGTGACACTGTAGAACAAAGACTGGACACATGGTTGGCAGTTCAAACCCACCAGCGGCTCCTTGGAAACCCTGTACAGGGTCGCTATATGTTGAAATTGACTGAACAACAACCAGGTCCCTGGAGAGTGCAAACTTGGAATACCTTTGCGAAGGTTCACTCAGCAGCTCTGTTGAAGAACCCAACGCAATGGAGTCGATTTCCACTCACAGTGACCCTGTAGGACAGAGGGTTTGCGACCGGAAATCTTTATGGGAAAAGAGAGCCTCAGCTGCCGGGATGGAGCAGTTCTACAGCTCAATTTTGCAACACATAGTGACCGTGAGTCAGAATTGACTTGACAGCAACAGATTTGGATTTTTTGTTGGTTTTGTTTTGCTTTTTTTTTATTTGTTACCAGAAACTGTACTAGACACTGAGGAATAGCAACAATGAATAAGATAATAGACAAGGTCTCTGCCCTCATAAGGCTTTCTTAAAGTGTTGAAGTTATGAACAAATAAATCTTTTCAGATAGTGATAAAAGATGTAAAGAAGATTATTTGGAAGAATACAGTAGATTGGGATAACAAAGACGGCCTCCCTAAGAGGTGACATTTTAGCTGATGCGAATAAAATTTATCAGGCAATCTGAGGGAGAAATGTTCTATGCAGACGAAAAACCAAGTGCAAACGTTTTTTGTGTGTGTGTTTTTAACACTTTATATTTGATACAATGAGAAGAATCCTACAAAATGGTTGCCACCAATTCTACCTTTGCATTTCTAGTTTGTAGAACTTCCTCACCACAAAATCCTGGCTGTCTCGGCTCCTTTCTCCCACTCCTTAATAGTTTCGCCCCTGCCGCCAGGCAAATAACTTGCCCTTACTTGTCATGGCGACTGTCCAGCTTTGTGCCAGAAGTCTCGCGGTGGTTGCCGGGATTGGGAGTTTCCATTTCCATGTGCTCACACTGGCGCTAAAAGTTTTCGGCTCCTCAAAAGCCCAAAGCCACCATCCTGGGCGCACCTAGCCGCCGGGCTCCGGGGGCACCTGGTGTCCGGGCTCGGAGCGTGCTCCCCAGAACGGTTTCACTCTACCCGGAGGTTCGGGTAAGATCTTGACAGCCTGAGTCCTTTCTGAGTCGTGGGCTTTCTGCTCCATATATTTTCAGCTCGGTGATAGAGGGTTTGGGGGGTTGGGGCATTTAGGATCTAGGGAGTTTTGAAGCTTGACTGGCGGGATCAACACGGGAGTGCACTGTTGGGAGGCCTGGATGTAGATAAGGATGTTAGGTTAAAGTCAATTCAAAGCTGAACACCTGGGCTGGAATGTGACATTTGGGGGGAAACTTGAGCCAGATTAAGGCTTCTTCCCCATCCTGCCTTCCTATTTGAGTACTGAGCATGGGGATCTTGAAATACACGCTTAAATGTGTTGGGGGTATGAGACTTTCCGAACTTGGAATATTGAGAGTTTACGGCTGGAGACTTTAGAGCCCATGGTATTCTAATGGAATCACAGCCTCCCTCCTGAAAGGATTATTAGATCTGGCAAGTCCAAACTGTTAAGGGTCCACAATTTCCGGACCTTTGTCCTTCCTGGCGTGATCTTTCCAGAAGACCCCTAACTCTGCTCCGCTGAGATAATCCAATTAAAGATTTATGAGAGTACTGTTATTGTTTGCCTCCACATTTGCATTTCTGCCTCTTGCACTACTATTTCCGGTTTCTATTAGTCGGAGCAGCTCACTATTTACCCAATGGGAGGGGAATAGAAGGACTAGGAACCAATCTAAAATACAAAAATTGTATTTTAGATTGGTTCCTATTACTTACGGAGGGAAACTGCTCGCCCTTTTCTTTTTCGTCTTGGTTATCGCTTTTGGATTGGAAGGGCTATTTGTTTTGATGCCAAGCTCAGTTCCTCCCCCTCTGAGTGGTGTGCCCCACCCCCTTTCGCCTGCAATCAAGGCAGGCGTTTCTACCTCGTGGGACAGGATTTAACAAATAAAAGTGCAGCGTGTAAACCTGGGTAGTTTCAAGAACGGCTATACTTGAAGATCAAGGATAAAAAAGCGTCAATGATGGGTTGTTGTTTTGTGGCTTACAAACAATCTTGTATCCGGCTTTGGGTTTAGCGTTTCCAATTTCGGACGTAGAATGAACGTCGTGAAAGCGGAAGGGGCGGGCTTTGGTGAAAAGCAGGCTTTGAGGTCTAAAGTCCAGCCCTTAAGGGGCGATGGAAACAGCCTGAAGTCCAAATGCATTTCGTCGCCTAGGGCACAGTCATTTCATTCAGTAGTTACCACGCACATTTTGGCAAATTTTACCCTCCAAACGAAACCCATTGACATCGAGTCGGTTCCGAGTCATGGCGACACTGTATAGGGTTTCCGAGGAGCGGTTAGCGGGTTTAATCTGCCGATCTTTCGGTTAGCAGCAGCCCAGCGCCACACAAGGATTCCAATTCCTACTCTTGTTGACCCTATGTCGAGTTTCCTAAAGCTGTAAATCTTTACGGGAGCAAAAAGCCGCATCTTTCGCCCACAAAGCAGCTGATAGATTTGAACTTCTAACCTTGACGCTAACAGTCCTATGCTTATCCCCAAGTTACATTTACCCCCAGAAAAGTTTTCATATGCCTCTTCCCCATCCTAGTGTCTACCCCCCATCTTTATTTTTATTTCTACCATCATGCATTGTTTTGTCTGTTCAAGGACTCCACAGAAATGGAATCATACAGATGTACTTTTTTGTATCAGGCTCCTTTTCTTCATCATGAGACTGGCATCTGAAATTCTTCCATTCCATATATCAGTGGTGTTACTATTTTCCTTTTTATATGAATAAAGCTGCTATGAACATTCATGTACAGTTTTTTGTGTATGGTCATATATTTATTTTCCTTTTACATGAACAGCTACTTAGGAGTGGAATTGGTAGGTCAACAATTTAAGCGTTCTAAAAGGAGCTCTGGTAGGCGTAGTGGTTACGAATCGGGCTGCAAACCTCAAGGTCAGCAGTTTGAAACTACCAGCTGTTCTGCGGGAGAATGATGAGGCTTTCTAAAAAGCTCCAGTAAAGATTTGTTGTTGTTATGTGCCATGGAGTCGGTTCCGATACATAGCGACCCTGTACAGGATTTCCGAGGCTGTAAATCTTTACCAGAGCAGAAAGACTCCTCTTTCTCCCGCGGAACAGCTAGTAGTTTCCAACTGCTGACGCCAGCCGGATTCACAACCACTACGCTAGAACCGACTCCACGCCTGTAGGTTAGTGCGCTGGACTGCAAAGTTGCTTTGAATCACAAGGTCGGCGGTTCAAGTTCACCAGCTGATCCTTGGAAACACTATGCAGGATCACTATGAGTCCAAACCGACTTGACTGCACTTAACAACAAGTGTTCCATGGAGTCCTGGTGAGGTGCTGTAGGATGAGCGCTGGACCGCAAGGTTGATTTGAACCACCAGCTGCTCCTCTGAAACCCTAAGCAGGGTTGCTATGAGTAGGAACTGATTCGATGGCACTCAGCAATAATTGTGCCAACATTTAATGTTGCCAGTCTTTCTAATTGTAGTGGCATATCATTATGGTGTTCGTATTTCTCTGTTGACTGATAATGTTGAACAGTTTTTTTGTGTGTGTGTTCTTCGAGTCTTTTTACTTTTTTTTTTTTTTTTTTTTAATTGGTTTGTCTTTTTATTGTTAAGTGCCCATCAAGCCGGCCCAATGAGTTTGAACCCTGACCTCGTGGTTCAAACCAACCATGGAATACAGTGCTTTATCCTACAGCTCACACCAGGTCTTTTTACACGAAGGGACTTAAAAACGTTCACAGAAAAATTCCATTACCTTTCCATTTCAGTTTTTTTTTAATGTTTTGAAGATATCTTATAAATTCTGAGTACAAGTCCTTTGTCAAAGACGTATTTTGTCATGACTTACAGCTTTGCTGCCTGGAGTATGGCGCTCTGGGTTAATGCACTGGACTGCAAAGTCAGTTTGAATAGTAAGGTCGGCAGTTCAAGCTCAACAACCACTTCTTGGAAACCCCATGCAGGGTCGCTATAGGTTGGAACCGACTAGATGGTACTTAATAACAACATAGCTTACTTGGAGTCCTAGTATGCCACTGCCAGATAAAGCACTGGACTGCA